AATTTGATGAAAGGATGCCCAAAAAATTCAAGGTTCTCATCTTTGTATGTTGAATGTCATGAAGCTTAAGTGCTATGGAGTTAGGCTGCAGGTGGTTAAGGTCGATAATGATATTTGGTTTGGCATATCCATACTTATATTTTCTATTTATAAAATCCCTGGAATATGAAGCCAACTAGAGACAAAGCCTTGCAACTTGTTTAACGCTTCCATTTCTCATACAAGTTAGGTTGTGTATGTGAAAGTTATCTTGACTGACATGTGGTGTCTGGTTTTAATTGACATTGTCCGATTTGGTTTGTTCTGAAAGGAGTAATTTCTTTTACTAAAATACCAATGTCTCTTATGTGTGCAAAAGTTAACTCAGTGACATGTGGTTTCTGGTTTGAGTGACATTGTCCAACTTGGTCGGTTCTGAAAGAAGTAATTGCTTGCCAGAATACCAATGCCTCCGAACCCATTTGCAATTTTCTTGATCTAATTAGCTATCCTCTTTTCTTCTTTCCTTATCTACTTCTTTTTGTTTTAACTTTTCTTTGCACATCTTGGATTCTATTTCGATTTCTCCCTTTCCCTTCTCGAGCCTAGCCTCTTTTTTCCCTTCCACATCCTCTTTCCTTTATTGTTGTTTTCTTGTAAATAGCCTTGGTCCTATGCTGTCCTAGAATTGAGGCCCAAACTTTGCTTATAACTTGATGTCCCTGTGTTTTGCCCTTGTTCTGTGATTATTTGTTGTTTATCATCTCTGCTGCACTTTGTGGTTCATATGTTTCACAATGATATTTTTCTTCCTAGCTGGAGGTTGACAGGAATTATTCGCTGTCCCAAGCACCATAGTGTGGCACCACTATCCTATTCTTTTCATTGCCCACCTTCCTCTAATCATATATCCAGCTTGGGAAATTGGATTCAAATCATGACTCATCAGGTTGAGTTCTTGGATAATTGGCATGGCAGTTAAGGTGGTTTTCTATTCCTAACCTGATGCCTCATTGCATGTTACATAGATGCAGTATCAGTTCTTCAACAATACTATAACTAGGTACCAAAACTTTGTGAATGTATGCATTGTAATGTAATGCACAGTTAAAATAATTCTTGTTTCTCTTTTCCTGTTGCAGTATAATTGTTTATCACCAGAACATAGACTGGAGATTCCGTTGATGGTTATGGCTGCTTCATCTGTTGATTTTGTCTTTTTAGCTTTTTGGCCTGTGTTCCTTTTTAGAGTGACCAAGATCAATCAGTTATAATTTGCTTTGACATATTGAAGCTTAGACTTGTGGATCCTTATTTTCTTCACTGAATTTGTTGAATTTTTCTTGGACATCTGTGCCTAGAAAATCTGTTAAATGAAGTATAAACTTTTATTTTTTTGTTTTTCTGTAAATAATAGAGGTAAATCACGATATTGATAATCTAACTTATTTAAGAAGTTGCGTATGCATCTGGCTCTTATGAATCTTGTCAAATACTTCTTTTACTGTTATTTTTTTTCCGTATTATCTTTCATTTCTATATCTCTGAGAAGTTTACTGTTGCAGGTCTCTCACTGATAGAAAGAACCAGAGTAGAGTTCCAAAGAAAATGCACAAAGCTGAAAGAGAGAAACTTAAACGTGACCAGTTGAATGAACTCTTTCTTGAGCTTGGTCATGTGCTTGGTAAATGTCGCCCCTTTCTGTTACAGTTATTTGGGCTAAATTATTAAGTTGCATAGGTGGTGTAACTGGAACAAAATTGACTGTCCAAAGGGAACAAGGTTGGATGTCTGCTTCGGACCAGATAGCTTCGTCGGAGTCCTTTTATTGAATGCTTATTTCAATGTATGTAGATTGGATGTTCCTATTAGTGAATCTAGACGTTTTATAGTTTTATGGAAACTCCTCACATTTCTACAGTATGCTTAGTCAAGAGTTCATCACCAAGCTTTAGAGGATGTCACTAAATGCCAGCCAGTTATAAATACCATGAAGTTGTAAATGGAGCATTCTTGATCTTGAGATTGCATTCATAATAGAATAGGCATCTTCATTTTCTGAAACAAAAGCGGTGGATCTGACTGTAATTATATTTGTTTGGGGCCGGTTGTGCATCTGATGTGTAGAAATTATTTTCAGTCTGAAGCAACTGTTTGACCTTCTGCTTATGGGAAATGATCTGTATGACTTTACAAGACTATATTAACTTTTTAAATTTCCTCTAAATTTGAAAGAAGCATGAATCAGGGGAAATTTGCTAGTGAGTGTTCTTTAGAAACCTTATTTAAAGCGAGCAGTATACATTTTCAGTATTAAATTTCCAGTGTAGAAGTCCACTCCATATACTGGCATTGTAATTTGGTTATTGGTTCTGTGCTATGTGACTGTAGATGTAGTACAAGCTGTTATTTTTCGCAAGAGATCTTTTTGTATGATTGCCAACTATAATACTAATTAACTAAGAAGCATACAGCTGTCTGTGCAGCTGTGACTATGTTTTGTATGTTATCTTGAATAAAGAGCTTCATCCCATTTTAATGTCATATACAGAACCAGATCGACAAAACAATTGTAAGGCTTCCATATTGGGGGATACTACCCGTGTACTTCGAGATCTTTTCGCTCAAGTAGAAACTCTCAGAAAGGAAAATGCTGCTCTGCTAACCGAATCTCGTTATGTAAGATGCCCAAACCTAACTGCACGCTTTCAGATCCTAGCAATAAAGTATATTTTTTTTGGTCGGTAATTGGTTAATGATATTGACAATATATGTTCAATAGTTTCCATGTATAAATTAACTCAATCATAAAAGAAAGACATTTTATAGTCATTTTCATAAATAGATGCGAAAAAATAAAATTATACTATTTTTTAGAATATATTAAATAAAAAAGAAAGATATTGTATAATCTTTTGTGTATGACATATCTCTAGCAATTTTTTGTTTTGACTGAAGTCATGTCTCAGTCTCTTGCATGCCAGGTGTTGTACTAGCCAGCTTGTTTGAAATTTTCTAGCATGCTGCAGAAATTCTGAAGTTCACTACAACCTAATTTTCCATAGCAGTAGTTTCTGCCAATTTTAAATAACAAATTCTGCATGTTCTACACTTAAGAAAAGTTATACATTGTAAAGTTGATAAAGTAATCTGAACGTATGTCACAACTGTGCAGCTTGTACGAAGACAAGTTAATTGCTTTCATTCAGTTTAAATTTACTTTCCTCTTTATCCATATATATAATTATGGATATGAACAGTGACACATGTTGCAGTTGCTCTTGGAGCTGTCATAAACGATCTTGGTTGCCACCTGTAGTATATGATTTTTTAAACATCATTTTTCTGCAGTTCCTTTTCTAGTTGCTTTCATGTTTTGGTAATTGGGAATTGGGACTGTGGCTCTGATTAGGAGAGTGACAATCCTATCCTTGGTTAGTAGTGTTCCAATATAACCTTCTATTGGTTTAGTGTACTAAACTCCTATATGTGGTGAATGTATTAGGTTACCGTGGAGAGGAATGAGCTGAAAGATGAGAACAATGCTCTGCAAGCTGAAATATCCCAGCTTCAAACTGAGCTACAGGGGAGATCGTTGTCCGTTACCATGTGGAATAACAACACTAACTCAAGCTCTTTCACTCAACCACAGCCAACAGCCACTGTGCTTCCGATGCAGCAACAACCAATCATTATTGGATCTGTGCAAGCAAACCCCGTCCGGGAGCTTCAGCTCTTCCCAGTGGAAAGAATAACCACACCACCATCAACACCACCTGCACCACCTTCTCAGGTAACAAGACCACATGCCAGATATCCGGCTCCATTGGACTTGTGGCCAGGTCAGTTGCTTTCTACTCTTCCACGGACCTCACAAGAAGAAATATGTGGCAGCAGTAGCATAAGCACTGGCAGCAAGGAGGGATCTGATAAAGTATGAGCCAGTACGTAAGATTGAGACATGTACATCAGGGATTTGACAAAATTTTCCCACTTATCAATGGCTAAATGAAGAATGTCATTTAAGCATTACAAGAATTCTTGCTGATGATGTTGCCAAGGGAAAAAGCTTGAGTTGGTGGGAAAGCAGTGGTTAGTTTTGAGAAACATATACATATTTTGTTGTGAATCAATGAATTCAGGTTTCTTCAATTTCTGATTCTTTAGTTTTCATTTCCCTAACCCAAATTTTCTCTCCTTGTTCCATCAAGGAATTAATGATTTTGGTATATGATGTTGATCCCTGAGAACCTGGTCCATTACCGACCAGATTTTCAAATGCTTGTCTCTCTAAACTAATATTGCATTTATCTATTTTTCCTTATAGTGTGCCAATTATTCTAAGCTGCTGTCCTATCCTTATCCGAATTTTTTTTCTCGTATGATGCACCTTTTACTTGCAACAGTTGTGATTAAATGGAAGGACAATAATTAGGGTTAGAGGAAATATTGTTTGTTTGATTACATAAAGACATTTACGGTCCAAGTTTAAAAGCTAATCTATGATATCTATCAATGGCTACAATTGAATGTTGGCAGTGAAGTATTTGTATCAATGATTTCAGAAGGTGATTCCTGAGCAATGTGATACTTCTCTGCTGATTGTACTTGTTTGTGAATTTTAAAGGGGGAAAAAAAATGCGAAAAACATCCTCTCGAGGATCCAAATACTTGGGCTAGAAATCATTGTGTTAAATTTGTTTCATGTTACTTTAGAAGCAGTTTGAGTTCCTCAAATTCCATCATCAGATGCTTTCTTTTGAGCATTCTGCGCATTTTAGTGATGGGATAAAGCACTGATAGGAATCATGCAAGATACAGATACGAAACACTCGGATAAACATAACGAGTGCCAAAAGCATCAACATTGTGCAACCTAATTTCTCAGATAAACACAGATGTGATATTATTTACCCTTTAGCAAATCAAAGAATCTAATAAATACATACACATACAATTCTTCTGCTTCTTGTCCACATCATCTCCTCTACCTGTGTCCCGTTAAAACAACCCACAGCAACTCAATCGCCCATAATTGTTGTGGGAAGAAGGTCTGGCACATCCATTTCAATCAAGCTGCGGCCAGCTTCCTTCTTCTCCATTGCATTATCCGCTCCTACGGATCCTAGTTGCTCGATATCTGCCCATCTATCTGCAGCAGCGTAGGTACTCGACAGAAGGATGACGTCGCTCGGGTGTTCATCGCCCAAGGACACCAGAGTTCTCTGCGCTACTTCTCCAAGCTCCACATTCCCATGGACCCTGCAGGCCGCAAGCAAAGCGCGCCATGCCACAGCATCCCCTTCAAAGGGCATGCTCCTTATGAGCTCATGTGCTTCCTCCAGTATCCCCGCCCTACCGAAAATATCGATCAGACATCCATAGTGTTCCATCTTCGGCGAGAGCCCGTATCTGCTAACCATTCTCTCGAAGCATTCCTTCGCTGCAGCTACCAGTCCGCCATGGCTACAAGCACTGAGGACTGACAAGAAGGTAACTTCGTTTGGCCTCGTTCCCTCATCTTCCATCCGATGAAAGAGCCGGAGAGCAGCCTCTGCCCTGCCGTGGACTCCAAGGCCCGTGATCATGGCTGTCCACGCCTGGACGTCTCTGTCGATCATTCCATCGAACACCTTGATGGCCTCATCGAGGCACCCACTCTTGGAATACATATCGACCAAAGCCGTCCCCAGAACAGCATCCAACTCTAAACCCTCCTCCTTTATGTGTTCCTGGATGTGCCGGCCGACGACAACCGCACCCGAGGAAGCACAGGCTGAGAGCAACCCCACGAATGTTGCTGAATTCGGCTTGACTCCCTCATCCTTCATCCTCGCGAGTAAAGCGAAAGCTTCTTTGATGGCTCCAGATTTCACGTACCCATCCACCATGCAATTGTACAAGACCAGGTCTTTTCCCTTCGTGGCATCAAATACCATCGCTGCTGAATCCATGCATTTCGTTTTCGCATACATAGCTGCGACTGCAGTTGCCACGTTCAAGTCAGAATAGTAGCCGGATTTAATGCAGTAGCAGTGCAGTGCTTCACTTCCATGGTGAGACAAATCTACCGAGGCCGACAATGTGATAACCATCACAGCGGCATTAATCTGGGAGAAGCGAGCACGCATCTCGCAGAACAATTCCACCACCTTTTGGGGCTCGGATATCTGAAGGTACCCACTCATCAGCGCGCTCCAAGAGACGGCGTCGTTCTCCTGGGGCATTTCATCGAACATCCGTCGGCCGTCGTCGTCCGCCCTCCCGCATCGGCAGTACAGATGGATCAGAGTGTTCCGGACGTTGACATAAAGCTGGAACCCGAGCTTAAGCACGAGGCAATGAAGCTGTTGCCCGGCTCGGAGGGCGAGGCCACGAGCACAGACCTTGAGGGTGGGGACGAAGGCGAACTGATCCAAGGCGACGCCGCTCGAGGAGCGCAGCGAGCTGAAGACGGAGAAGGCATCCGCCACGGCGGGGGTGCGGGCGAGGGAGAGGCTCCGGAGGAGGGCGGTATAGTGGAAGAGGCAGGGGGCGGGGACGCGGTCGAAGATGGAGCGGGCGTAGGGGGCGTCGGCGACGGCGGCGGCCGCGGCGATGAGCTTGCCGACGGGGAAGGGGAGGAGATCGAGGCCAACCTTGATCGCTAGGGCGTGGGCTTGGCGGAGCTGCGGGGGTTGGAGGCGCGACGACCGGAGGAGGCGGGACAGCAGCGCCGGCCACCGTCGAGTCGAGTTGGTTTGCATGGCCAGCGACAGGTCCGTAGCACTTGCCGAAGTCATGCACTCATTCTTAGAAACAGGGTTGCCCTGCCGTACGATACGTATCCCACAATCGCTTTGGTGTTCTCGTTCTACTCCGTCAACATCAATCAGCTCTATGAACTTCTTCGCACTTTAACCGCCAATAAGCATTTGCCACGTGTGCTGTGACAACCTCGCGCATTATTCAAACGATGAGCGTAATATGATAATATAACATTCATTATTCAAACGTTATATGATAATATATTTAATATATCATTTTTTTGGGATAATTTGAATAGTAAGAATTCAAGACAGGATTTGGATTTGAATTTGAATTTAGATTCAGAAACTTAACTTGGTGTAGCTATTCTTAGGCTTTCATTTCAAATCCTTTATATCTATCTTTGGATTTTTATTAGCACAAGCGGTGTACCTGTTGATACTGATATCAGTCATGAAGGTTTTAAACATATCCACATGAGAGATACAACACGTTAGCCCTCTTTTGTCTTTTTCCTAACTCGAAGAACTTAGCCTTGATGCAAACACATCAGGAACGTGGAAGAATGATGATTGATTGATTGATGTAAAGGATAAATCCGTAAATATATAGACACAAAAATATCATTTGTGAGCTAACAATAAAAACATTACATGAAAGGGCAAAACTACTTACAATGGTATCCAAAAATTATTTCTCTTTAGAGGACATTACATGAAGGGGCAAAGCTTCTTAAAATGGTATTGAAAAATTGTTTCCACAGAGGAAATAGATTTTTGACGCATTAATTTAGTTTTACATGAAAAATGAGAGGAAATCGTATTGGGCTTATAGGATTGAATAAATTTTGAACCAATCTCCAAATATAAAATCAATCTGATTAATATAATAATCTACACTGATATCTAACTTCTTTATAATAGAATATTCTTCAATCTTTATTACTTATAAATCTTCAATGATAATGATCTTCATTTCAACAATACATATATCTTTTTGAATTTTTAATTATTGACTCAGTAAAATCTTCTTTTATATAAGATGGTAAAATCACTTTTTATGCTTCTGATGAAAATAAAATCATCTGCTCTAAAAAAATTAATATTATCTATGTCACAATCTAAATCTTGCTTGATCTTTCTTTCAGTCTCTCGTATACCGTATCTTGGTGCCTTTATTCTAATCCATCTCTCCTTTCAAATTGGACACGTAAAGATTACATGAGCTCCTTATTTATAAAGGGATAAACTCAAGATTTTAACTTTAATTATAAGAAGGACTCCTATCTTAACTAAGACTCCTAAACTAAAATATTATCTAATTATAAAATTATATCTAATTTTTAATTTACATTCTGACCTTGAGGTTAAGTATTTTAGAACAACAATTCAAACCTGTCAAATTAATGAATCGATTAGCTGATTAAAGTGAATCATGATAATATTTATGTGAATGATAAGGAAATATATATATATATATATATACATATATATATATATATATATACATATATATATGTATATATATGCATGTATATATATATATACATATATATACATATATATATATATATATATGTATATATATATATATATACATATATATATATATGTATATATATGTATATATATATACATATGTATATATATATGTATATATATATATATATATATATATATATATATATATATATATATATACATACATTCATTTATACGGTGGAAGAACATTAAAAATAAAATCCCTAATTTTGCAAAGATGTATTCGTCGTCGTGCAAAGATTGGTGTGCAAAATCTGTAAATTAGAAAACTACGTATATTAAATATTATGTTACCTAGGGAGATCGTATATCCCTGAATCCCAACAGATCTCTAGGAGAGAGTGAAGGAGGTCAAGCACCCTTTTCTCTAGCGGTGATCCACAAAGTAGGGCTACGACAATGCTCCTCAAAACTCCAAGCCTGCTCTAAGGAGGAGAAGGGGAGGAGAATAGGAGAAGGCAACCAAAAAGGCTCTAGCCTATGAACCATTAGTTCCCTCCTATTTGTAGATGTCCCCTATCAACTTAACCCAAATGGATCCTGCCTTATTGGGTATTGGATCTCCATCCAACTACCCAAGCCTATTAGATTAGTGGATCTCTATCCAATAATCTCTCATTGGCTCTTATTGGATCTCATCCATAGGATCCAATAATTCAGTGGCTTATTGTGTTGAATCTCGGATTTTGATGATGAAGTCAATTGTCATTTGTTGTCTAATCTATGTTTTGAGATAAGTGTCCAGGATTAACTATGATGAAAGTTAGACATGCAGCAGGAGTTGCGCCGGAGTCAAGACAATGATCACGTTGGGAGTTCGAGAGTTCGACGGAAGTTCGGACAGTCGTCGGAAGTTCTGCGGGAACAAATCCGAGAAGTCCATAAGCTTGCCAAAAGAAGCTCGTCGGAACTCGCCAAGTGGATCGTCGCAAGTCCAGGAGTTTGCCGGAAGTCCGCAGGAGCATCACCGAGGGTTCATCGGATGATCGACGGAAGTTTGCCGGAAACTCGCCGGAAGAAGCGATTGACGCACCGGAGCAAGCTGCAGAAATTGTCTTAGGAATTATCGTAGTTAGCTTATTGATTAAGTTAGAAATGGGAGGTGATCCCATTAACTTAATCTTGGGGCAATTGGGCCCCTAAACAAACCCAAATTGGGTCGAATAGATCAACCCATTCGGACCCTGATTGCTGTGGGAGGTGCAACCGCCCAAGCCAGGAGGTGGCACCGCCTGGGCTAAGTCTCCCAGGGAGACTGGGCGGTGCAACCACCCCAGCCAGGAGGTGGCACCGCCTGGGCTCAGTCTCCGAGCGAGACTGGGCGGTGCAACCTCCCCTGACAGGAGGTGGCACCGCTTGAGCTCGGTCTTCGAGCTCTGCCAAGCAGTGCAACCGCCTTAGTCAGGAGGTGCAACCGCCTGAGCTCGGTCTTCGAGCTCTGGCAAGAGGTGCAACCGTCCCTGACAAGAGGTAGCACCGCCCAGAGGCTCAGTCTTCGAGCTCTGCCAGGCGGTGCAACCGCTCTAGTCAGGAGGTGCAACCGCCTGATCCCGGAATTCCGGGAATTGATAGTTTTGAGCTCCAAATTTGAACTGGGTTGGGGCTTATAAATACCCCACCCATTCAGCACTGAAATAGCATCAACTTACACCAAAATCTTGACCTTTTTCTGTGATTCTTAGAGCTCAAAATTGTTGTAAAGGCCAAAAGTTCTTCTCC